CAGACACAAACACACACTCAGAACAGAGAGACACACACAGAGAGATTTCCTCCATAGCAAAACTTTGTTCTTATCATCATAACAAAAAAAAAGTTCTGGGTAATTAAAAAGAAAGGAAGAAAGAAAATAAAACATTTAAAACAACAACAAAAGTAATAAGAGAGCAAAGCTACTGGACAACCAATTAACATGAAGCCTGTTAAAAGATGGCACCTCCAATGAGAGGTCAGGCAGAGCACTTAACTTTTCAGAATAGGGCCCAAAGCTGCTAAGACATCAACAAATTGCACAAACACTAAGCTACACAAAAAGAAAATAAGAAAACAATCCGATTCACAATAATAACAAAAGGAATAAGATATGGGGAATCAAGCAAAGAAAAGATTTGTAAACTTAGTTATAAATACTGTTGAAGAGAATTAAAGGAAACACAGATAAATGAAAAAATATTCTACTGGAATGAATGAATTTATTAAAATGTCCATATTACCCAGCTAGATCCCAATATCCAATGCAATTCTTGTCAAAATTCTAAATAAATTCTTTCTAAAAGTACTAAAAATGACTCTAATATTCATTTGAGAGTACCTAAGACCATAAATAATTGAAATAATATTGAACAAGACCAAATATTTTGACTCTGAACTATTTTACAAAGTCACAGTAATCAAAACAGTGTGACAGTTTCATAAAAATGACAGGTAACACACTGGAACTAGAGGCCTCACAAGTAAACCCATGCATATATGGATTTATATGATTAATGGAGTTACATAATTTATAATACATAGCTAAATAATTTTCAACAAAAATAGTGAGAAATAGCCAACATGGAAAAGAGAGTTTCTTCAACAAATGGTATTGAAACTACCTATCTATATGCAGAAGAATGAAACTGGACCCTTGTCTCACAGGGCAAATCAAATCATCTCAAAGCATACTAAAGACTTAAATTTAAGAACTTTAATTGGAAAACTCGGAAGGAAAACAGTATAGAGATTCTCTATAACGTTGGTCTGAGAAATATATATTTATTTATATATCTCCCAAACCACAGACAGCAAAGTAAAACCTGAATGCAGAGAATCCCAAGAAAGGCAGCCTAGCCTGTCCTCTATCTCTACCACCTCAAGACAGGCCAGACCTCCCTAGGGAGTCATAGCATGTCCAAGCGGAAAAATTTTTTAAAGGTGGTATAAACCCGCTTTGATGGTATGTGCCTATAAACTCAGGGCATAAAGGCAGAAGGATCAGAAGTTCTAGGCTAGACCAGGCTACATAGTAGCCTGCCTCAAAACAAACTATAGTTATACAAACAAACAAATATAGCTATACAGACAAGCCATTGCCCTGTGGTGCGATGCTCTGCCTCTCTTCACACCTCCACACAGCCCCAGTGAGAAGAGACGCAGGATGACAGTCACCCTCCACGTATGGATGCCATGGCAAGCAACTAGGAAGCCAGTTTCTCTTTAGTCAAATGTTTATTAAACTTCAAAAATGGGACCTCACATGTAAAGCAAGAAAGAGAAAGTGTAGGTAAGAATATTGCTTTATATCTTTCATCGTGAACAGAAGGTGAGTCAGGAAATACCTTGCCAGAAAAGTTACAAAAATAAAGGCTTACTCACTTATTCAAGATCTAAATGGTGACAAAGCTTTCTATTGTCAAAAACAGGCCACACCAAAAAAAAAGTCTTTGTCACTTTTGAGATGGTAATTTTTAGTATCTGTAAGATCAATATACCACTTGGTATACTCACATGGTATTGTTCTTAATGTCAAAGCAATGGCCTGGCAGTCTTTAAGCATAAGGAAAGAGAGAATACTCTACCACCACAAAGTTCTGCACAGCCAGAGGACACCTCATAGTGTCATGTGTGACCCATAGGTCACACAGGAACCAAAAACAGTCTCTGAGAGAAGTCCCGAGTCAAAAGTCACTTACAGACACACCTGCAAAGGGTCCACACTACATGGTCTAGAAACTTAGGTTGTCCTTTGTTACTATGGAGACACCAGTCTCTGTCCAGTTGTATGTTCTGGAACTCCTGGCAGCTTCTCACCAACCTCGAGTATCACTATGACCACAGAGACCTACCCACCCTCCGTTCCTTTGCTACCTAACAGTCCCACTGCTAGTCTCCTCCAAGTTCCAAGGACTCTCTGAATGAGAGCTTTGATCCCATGGCTCTTTGGTAGGAAAACCTTGGGTTCTCACCATGTGCAGAATTATGTCTCAGTTTCATATGAGACAAAAAAAAAAAAAAAACAAAAAACAAAAAACCTCTTCAAGGTCCATCCCCGGCTTCCCTCGTCCTCAGTTCCTAATGCTAGCTCATTTCTCAAATCTCCCCAATCTTCACAAATGGATGGATGGATGGATGGATGGATGGATGGATGGATGGATGGATGGGTGAATGAATGAATGAGGCTACTCCAATAATCACTAATTTTCTAACTTGTGGTTTTCTATTATTAATCTCTACCTTCTTTTGAAATAGATAATGAAATCACCCTTCATTTTCTGCTAGTTTTACTTATAAAGTACAGATCATCAAAACTGATGTAAAATAATCACTTCTTCTAGAATCCTAGGTTCTCAGACACAGAACTGGATTTGCCGTGTATCTTCTAACTCTTGACTCTGCAGGATTTATGTCTGTGCTCTCAGGAGTTCTCTCAGCCATTTGCACCAGCAATCTTACTATCTTAGGTGACGTATCTATCCACTGCGATCATCCAAATAAGCCCTTCCTTGAGAAGCTATCTATTAAGGCTTATTTCTTTGTAGCTCTGACTTCTCTTTTCCTTAAGTATCTACTTGACTTCTGAAATTTTCTCTCTTACAACTCAACTTTCTCCAGGTTATTGATAAAAATAAGGGAGATGTTGAGTTTCAGTGTAAATTTTGGCATCTGATGAGAACTTTCTGATACATTCACGGACTAATTAAACTATAAATATTGAGAAGTTTCTTTTACCCTTAAATTGTAATAATGAATCCCAAAGGCAATTATCAGTGGATAGAAAGTTATTATCAGAGAAAGTTGCTCTTGGACTGAACCACCAACCAAAGAGCATGGGCTGGTCCTAGGCCCTCTGCACATAGATAGCAGATGTGCAGCTTTAGTCTTCATGTGGGTCCTCCAATAACTAGAATGGGGGCCCTCCTGACTCTCATGCCTCCCCTCGGATCCCATTTCCTCCAACAGGGCTGCCTTGCCTGGCCTCAGTGGGAGAGGATGTGCCTAGTTCTGCAGCAACTTAAAGTGCCAGTGTGGGCAGGTACCAATGGTGGACCTCCTCCTTCTCTGAAGAAAGAGAGAGGTGAGAATGTGGGAGAGGGATCTGCAGAATAGATAGATAGATAGATAGATAGATAGATAGATAGATAGATAGATAGATAGATAGATA